CAGGTTCGCTAATTGTTTTCTTATATCTATCTGCCTTGTCTTGATTGTTTGTTATTTGATTCCTATTATATATATAGTTATGGTTTTTTGGAAGATAAACAAATTCTTTGTATCAAATATGTAAATCTTCAAACGAAATCTATATCCAGTAGATGAAAATATTTCATTGCTGTTGGTACAGAATTTTTCTGAGACGAGGATGTAGGCATGCGAGGAAATGTATGTACTTTTTTTTTTAAAAAAAAAATAATAAATAATTTTTTGACTAATTTTATGCTTTAATTATTTACAGGTATATATATTTAAAATAATTGAAGTTGTTTCTGAATCTGATAATCCACAAACAAATCATAAGTATAAATTACTGTGTCATGAAGAGGTAAAAGGTTCTGTAACTGCAATTTGCAATGTTAAGGGATACTTATTAACTTGTGTTAGTCCAAAGGTAACAAAAAATTGATTTTGTCATTTATTCATTTCATTTATATCGAATCTTATTTTTATTATATATTTATCTAATATTGTAAATATTTATACGCACTTTCAAAGATAACGATAGACTAATTAATGTGGCATTCATAGACATTTAAATTTACGGTAAAAGCGTTGTTTCTGTTAAGGACTATATATTATTGGGAGATGTATACAAGAGTGTTTGGTTTCTTGGATTCCAGGTAATTACTTTCAAAATATATATATATATATATATATATAAATCTATTCATTCTAACAAGTTTATCTATCATCATCGTTATAATTATACAGGAAGAATCAGCAAAATTAATATTGGTTGGTAAAGATTATCATTAATTGAAGGTTAGTTGATTAAATTATTTAATCGATAAGCTGATATTGTACATTACTGTAGCAGATATGAATAAAATTATCTACTTATTTCAATACGCATCATATAATAAGTGTTTCATAAAATAATATTAATATTTCGAATAATGAATTAACTTGTAAATTCATCATTGTAAGATGTTCAGTCTCTTGCAGAACAAAATTTATTTGTCGTGATGATTTTTATATTTGGTGTACAAGTGAAAATGATGTTAAGCATGCAAAAATAAGAATTAGTAAGAAATGATCCTATTGCATAAGAAGTTTCGTAAATAAAAAAAAATTAGACCAAATTTCTTTCATGAATTTCATAATTTAAATTCCATTATAATTTAAACACTTAATGCTAGCATAATCTGATACCTGAGAAAATATATAAACGATTACAACTTTACATTCTAATATGATGACTGGATTACAACATATAGTAGGTTTAAATCCCAAAGCTTTCAAGTACTTTGTTAATTTATATTTATCAACTTAATACACACTTTTTATTATAATTAATAACATTCATATTCATTCATTCATTTTAATAAAAATTAGACTTTTTAATTCGAAACACAGAAATTGGCTATTAATCCAGCCAAATGGATTTTAGATGGCGATCTCCTATTTCAATTCCAAAACCTTGCTATGCATCATTAAAAAGAAATGACCAAATATATAGGTATAATGGTGGAAAGGATTATAGAAGATTTATTAGTAGTGTAAGAATCTTGTGACTATTTTTAGAATCGAAATTTTGTAATGTAAAATATAATTAATACATTAACAAAAATTAAGTTTCGATACTAATTATATACCTTCTTTTTTAAGAGTAGATCTGTATATATTATTTAAATTTTTATTATAATTAATTATAATTAATATTTCACATTATTATCTTAAAAATTTGTAATTAATTTATATTTCAAGTTACGGCTAATTATAACTTATATTTTAAATTGCAATATTTTTTAAATTATAAAACATGTTATAATTATTAAAAAATTTATATTATGTTGCAATATTTTAATTATGGTATCCATCTTTACTTAAAACCCAACGAAATCTATCTTCCGATCACAGGAAAGGATAGGTGGGTGTTTCGTAAAATAATAGCAGATCAGGAGGGAATGGCAGATATCGTAATAGATTACTACTACAGCATGGTCATAATAGTAAGGGAGATAACCGGATCTATATTGGATGGTTATTAGCATGTACAGTGATACAAGCTAAAAAGATATTATTAAGCCTGCCTGAAGATTTACCAGAAAAGCTATTGGCTCACATCAAAAAGAGATTTGAAGAAGTCCCACTTGCACCAGTAGTTATGTGGTAGTCGATTAGGATTTGAGATAATAAATATCTGGCCTATTTATATATTTTTCATGTATGAAATAATGGTTATTTTTAAAATTCATATCCTATATATCCCATATTTTTTTCCTAACTATGAACCATATGGGAGGTTTGCTAAGAAAATGAGACTCTAAGCATCTTTTATTAAAATTTTAATTTTTATTGTATTTTAATTTTTGATAATAATAGATTCAAATGCAATAAAAATTAAAATTTTAATAAAAAATGCTTAGAGCCCCATTTTCCTAGCAAACCTCTCATATAATTGCAAGAAGTAGTAAAGGTAGTAAAGTAAGTAAGGTATATGTTATCAATAGTGTCATTAAGGAACTTGCAATGATAGGGATAGCTGATGCGATCCTAGAGGGGTCCACTAGAGACATTATTTGGGCTGATAGCATTACTTCTGTACCATCTAATTGCTTTGTAACCCTTTCATTCAAAATAAACTTTTCAGAATGTGCTGGTTAACTATGAACGAATTGATTGGGTAGGGTATCTGTCTGACTTCTCAAAACCATCTCATCCTGAGTAAAGATGCCAGCCGAAATTCCCTCAAAATAATTTCATCATATCCCTTACTATGTTTTTAATATAGTTTCGGCTAATTTCGTGTTTCAGGATTTTGTCATACCCCTCACTATGTTTTAATATAGTTTTGGCTATTTATTAATTGCCTTTTTTGAGTTTCATCCCTCATCTTTAATCCTGAGATAATAGCTCTTGCAAAGCCTCTAATATATTTTCTCTGGCAAAACTTTTATTGAGTACCATAACTTTATCTTCAAGACTATGCTCATAGACGAGGAGTCTTAAATCATCACTGATCCAACCTGATAGCTTTTGCGATAAATCATTTATAGGTAGGTGAGGATTGCTATTAAGGCGATTCGCAAAGAGATCTATTATTTCATTATCTTTTTTTGAGATAATCTCTTGGAGATGAGAATTTTCCTCCATTAAATTTGATTGTGCCGAAGATAAGAAGTCTAATGTCCATTTGTACATGCTATTTGATGACTCTTTCCCTTTTTCCATACATTCTATTTCATGTTTCTTTGAATTAAGATCCTTATTCGTTCATTCCAATTCAAGCCTGAAGGAATCCATTTCAGATGAGTTTATTTAGGCCGGCTCTTCTATCACCCCTCCTACTACATTTGAATCGTGAAGTACCTGTTCTAGTTCCAAGTCATCCAACTTACCTTCCAATTCACGTATTTTAGCTTCAAGAGAAAGAATATGAACCTTGTCAGCAGACGAAGCTTTCTGAGCCAAAGTTAGCTCTCTTTTTAGTGATTTAATATTTGATTTGAATGATTGGATTTCAGCAGTATATTTGATTCAAGCTCACGTTGACTTTCGGAATAAGACTTCTGTTTAGAAATAAGTTAGGATCTAACCTTAATACTGGACGCAATTAACTGGCTAGCTTTATTTTTCACACCAGCATAGTTTTGCTGAAATTCCTTTTCTTACTCATTGTACTTATCTATTAGCTTCTCACTGAAATCATTAATCTCAGAGTTAAATTCGGTAATGGATCTTATTTTTTTTAAGCTCTTGCTCATATGCACTACTCAGCCGATAACCGTATTTTTTATAAGAACCACTCTCTCTATCTTTTATATCATTCAATGTATGCATATTAGACATAATATTAGTATGGTTATATATTAGAAAAAAAATGCACGAATAAATTTCTGAGATAATAGAGATAATCTGTTTATTGAGAATAATACATTCTTTCTAAATATCCTATATATCCTATATATCTTATACATCTGGAATATTTTCTTCCTATATATCGTATATATCCTATATATTTAGAATAATACATTCTTTTATATATTCTATTTAATAAATTATTTCAGAGTATTATATTAAATATAAAAAAATATTGCTATAATACTTAGGCAACGCATGAGATGTGATGCCCCTCCTTTTTTATCAGCCAATTACAATCATATTATGCAATGTGCTGAAAAAAAGCCTAGAGATAAAGTTTTAAAGGATTTAACAGATAAATATCACACATCACAAAAAGTATATATCAGATTTGAAGAGGTGAAGAAAAAAATAGGGCTGCATAGAATCAACCAATTCATATGCTAATAGCTTCGCTTTCTAATATAAATGTTGTGAACGAATGGACTGAGTCAGAAATCCAAGACTAAGATATTTCTCCATTTGCAAAACTGGAAAAACAAATGCGTAATAGTAAGATATAGCCTAGCAAATCTATTGATTCAGTTTTAGAAGAAGGTGGGAATGCAAAAAAGACTGGAGGGAAGAAATTGAAGTTTAAGGATGTGACATCACTGCTAATATCATAGGCAGATTGCGAACAATACCCATAGATTCAATAAGGACAGTAGCTACACCGCTAAGGTCATGTTTTTCAGATTTATCTATTTTGGCCTTAATACGATCAACAATATTTTTCGTTATAATTGGGGGTTCAGCTCTGGAGTCAAGAGTCATGACTGGAATCTTCAAGTGCTTAATTTTGCACTTTACAGTCATAATACTTATTTTCAGTTCCTTTTTCTGAACGAAATCAATCTCAGTTTCAGAAATTATGACCAAATCTACCACACTTAGTACATTTATTGACAGCACGTCTAACAGCGGATTTGATAGCATTTATTGTGATACTATTTAGTGTCATGCTGGCTATACTGTTAGTAAAATCATCTATAGGGTCATAATTATAATTATCACCAGAAGTTACGTTACCTTTCTCTCTTAGTAGACTACTCAAAAAACACCTAATAATAAGAACTTCTGCTCTCTTCTTAATCAATTTTTTACTTTTATCTAGAGTCTTATTCGCTTGAGACATAGTCTCTTGCAAGGATTTAATAAAAGATTGTAAATCAGTATTTTGTTAGTGCTATGAAGAAACTATTGTGGTTTTTATTAAGTCCTTGATTTCATTTTTAGTCATCCCACCTCCTGATTTGTTAGTATCCGCATATGGATTGGCTGTCAGAATAATAGGAAGAGAAGATGATGCACTCTTTTGAGATAATGTAAATTTTTCCACTTCAGCTAGGACTTTTGTAATATTATCCTGTGTATTATAAAATTTAGCGATCATTCGAATATTATATTTGTTCATAGGATTAAGTCATGAATAAATTACTCTCTTTGCTATTTGGGAGTCATTTTAGCTAATTTACCAACCTTTTTGATTCAGGCAGAAACTGCTCAACTGGCATATCGCCTTGTATGAGCTGACTGAAAACTTCCATCTGTTTTAAGTGTTCAACTGTAGTATAGGCAGTTCTAAACAGGTAAAGGAGTTGACCAAGTTTAATACTAGGAGCAATTGTAACAGCAGGTAAACCACCTCCAGCATTTAGTGCTACTGATGCATTATCTACAGGTTCACCACTGGCTATAGACCAGTCTTTATCCTATATTCCATTCAGAATAATATCAGCACCAGTTGCGATTCCTGCTCCAATTCTACTAATTTCTACACCAGCTTTACCTTAAAATTCTTCAGCAGTATTTAAACCTCTGATCTGAGCACCACCATTTCTGGTGATCAAAACTCGAACAGCATTTAGATCAGCAACTCCCAAATTATCATAATGTAATAAACTAAAAAGTTATCTTTTAGATCACATGATTTTTACCTTGTCACAAAATCCATCCAATCAGCTAAAATTAGCAGATCTTCAAAATCTATCCAAT